CTTCTCAACACTACGACCACAACGACCCTTAAATTCTTCAAATAGCTCATTAAACAACTCAATAGTAGGAGCATATGCACATCTACTAAAAAGAGTAAGCAAATACTCTTTTGATTCACGACTCTTCACTGACAAATAAGTCTTCAAGTTTGTCTTCAAATGCATTAGACAAAAAGAATGACAAGAAAATGGAAAGACCTCAGCTAAAGCTTTTAGCAAACCTCCATGTCGATCAGTAACAAATGCAATATCCCTCTCCAGAGTCAAAATACCTAATAACTTTGACAAGAACCAATGCCAACTGTCATAACTTTCACCATCAACAATCGCAAAACATAACGGATACAAACCTACAAACAAAATATATATATACAAGTTATCAGTAACAAATAAAAAAGATTACATAGCCATATCGTTACCAGACCTGGTTTTTCATATCAGTCTTGTTATCCAAATTTCATTCAAAAAATTGATTCTAATCTGAGTATTTGTGTTGAATTTAAAGGTTAATAACAGGTTTGGAGTCACTATACTGATAAGTTTATTTTTTATAGTGTTTTGTTTACCCTGATAAATTTATCACTGTTTCAACAAATTTATCACTGTTAACACTGATAAATTTACCAATGTTCAAACAAAAAAACCAGCGACTCTCTCTTCCTCTCTCATTCCTTTTCACTAATTCAAGTAAACAAAACACTATAAAAAATACTAAAAAATTTACCTAATTGAAAATTAAAACACAAGCACTAGTACATTGTCCAAATTGGAAATTAAAATACTGTTACAATTTGTAGATATTCCCAAGTTTGAGAATGAATGTAAGAACATGCCATCCTTGGTGATTTCTGAATAATCAAAACCATTTGATATTTTAGTTAAACAACTCAAACATCCAAAGCTTGCTTCTGAGTGACCACAAAACAGTATGCGGACTGAGAACTTGTTGCTAAACTAGATAAACATGGTAGTTGATCTAAATTTTTTTTTCTTTGCAAAGCAGTTAACACAGTAGATATGCAATTATGTATTCTAGAGATTTGATCTACAACTTTGTGTTGTGGAAATTTTTCCTGGGAAAATTAGATAACTCCAGAAAAAAATTGATTCCTATAAGTAAGTAATATACAAAGATCTAGTCCTTTGAATGCTGAAAGACTTATGGGAAAAATCGTGTTCAAGCTTTGAATCTCAAATCTTCTGCATTTGGAAACTCATAAAAAACATCTACTAGTGAAAACCACTCAGAAATAGCAAAAGACAAAAAAAAAGGATATATGTGTACATATATGTATTCATTTTCTTTCTTTTCCTTTTATCAGCAATCAACCCAAGAGTAAATAAGGTACAGTGTGAAGAGAAAGAAACTGGAAAGAGGTCTAGCATGTGTCATTATAAATTCAGTGCACAAATTATTTGTGTCTTTGGGGAATGCATTATCTAACAAGCAAGGTTGTATTCTTGTTTGAATTAATCAAGGCACAGAAAAACTAAAAACATGTATAAGTAGTGACATCAATTGATTTTTGTTGAGTTTAAGCCAGTGATAAATTTATAATTGTAAAAAAGAACATTTGCTTGGATATAACAGTGATAAATTTATCAACCATTGACATAAATGTGATAAACCATCAACTCTTCTCATACAATCAGTGATAAATTTATCATTCTTGAAAATAACAAAATTCAGGAACCCCATTAATGCTTTATTGCTTCCTTCAGACAATAGTAAATTTATCATTCTTGCAAAAAATAGTCCACCAACTTGTCCAAACCAACCAGTGATAAATTTATCACTGTAAAAAACACCAAAAACAACAACTATATTTAATCCAAATCAAATAATATAAATCTGTGAAACTTAATCCCGTAAAAATATCATCAAAAAATATAATTTCTTTTCAACAAATTCCTCAATCATTCAATGCAAGTACCGAAATGATATATCTTTCCAAAAATACTCAATCATTCAATGCAAGTAACACCTCTCAACTCTCAATAAAGTAATTTAATTAAAATCAATACAACTAAAGCAAAGCTTCTTTACATGTCTTCCAATTATGAGTTCCTATTTTTCCACACCTACTGCACCTAATTCTCCTGATTTCGCCCTTAGAAGGTATTCTCTCTGTTCTTGGGCGTCCAGCTAGTCTCTTACAAAGAGGAGGTAAAACAATATTATCATCAACAACTACATTTGGCTTCCACATACTAGGAATTGGATAGATAGAATGTGAATAAGAATCACAATAACTACTAACATGGTAGTAATCATCAAGAAAAAAATTCAGATCATTCCCACTCCTCCTTATAGCACAAAAACCATGCTTGCAAAGAAAAGAATCAATTTCCCACAATCGACAAGAACAAGAACGTTTCCCAATATCAACAATAACTAAATGATCCAATTGGATTTTACAAATGTCATCACTACATTTCTTAACTATCCATACTTTTGTATTATTAAAAGCTTCTTTCAACTTTTTCTCTACAAAAGGACAAACAATACGATTCTACTTATTCCCAACTTCTCTCCTTTTTGAAAATTGCTCTATTAGTTTCACACATATAGCATCAACAAGACTAGTTAAAAACAAATGGCGTTCATCCCTAATCCATGAATTAAAAGATTCCGCAGCATTTGTGTACATTTCACCATATCTCTTGCCTTGAAAATAAGAGTTACACCAACACTCATTAGGCAAATTCTCAAGAAACTTCTTAACACTACGACCACAACGACCCTTAAATTCTTCAAATAGCTCATTAAACAACTCAATAGTAGGAGCATATGCACCTCTACTAAAAAGAGTAAGCAAATACTCTTTAGATTCATGACTCTTCACTGACAAATAAGTCTTCAAGTTCGTTTTCGAATCCATTAGAGAAAAAGAATGAGAAGAAAATGGAAAGACCTTAGTTAAAGCTTTCAGCAAACCACCATGTCGATCGGTAACAAATGCAATATCCCTCCTCAGAGTCAAAATAACAAATAACTTCAACAAGAACTAATGCCAACTGTCATAACTTTCACTATCAACAATGGAAAAACATAACGGATATAAACCTACAAACAAAATATATACACGTTATAAATAACAAATAAAAAAAATTACAAAAAGAAAATCAAAACACAAAGTATATGACATATAGCGCCAACCATAGATAAATTTATCACTGTATAACTACAAAAATTCAATAGCAGCATACAACATATAGAATCAGTGAATAATAAATTTATTACTGTATAAATATAAAAATTTAACAAAAGTATATAGCATACAAAAGTATACAACATAAATTTATCACTAATAGATTGACCATACTCAATAATCAACCCTCTCCAGTAACAAAAATGATAAAATTATCACTGTTTTAATAATAATAACAAATAGACACAGAATATACCTTGGTTACCGTCTTTTGCCGTGGCAGCCAATAAACAACCTTTGTGTCTTCCTTTCAAGAAAGTTCCATCAAGCATCAACACAGGCCGATAATACTTGAAATCATGAATACACACCTCAAAAGAGAAAAAGAAGCATTTAAAACGTCTTCCTTTACTATCAACATCAAATTCCATATCAAAAACACTCCCCGGATTACAATCATTAGCGGCATCAACATACCAACGAAGATCGTCAAATGATGATGAATAGTCACCAAAAACAATACCCCTTGCTTTTTCAACACCCATCCTAGTATGCCGATAAGACACTTCTATTCCATAATAGTCCTTGAAATCACAAACCACCTCACTAACCGCTGACAAAGCCTTATTACGAATATCACTTGAAATTAGCCCACTAATCATACTCGAAGTCATCCTAGCATGTTTAACTGTATGAAAAGAAGATCCACAAGTATGGACATCATCAAATTGTTTAATAACAAAAGCTTTACTATAATTTTTCACTCTAGCATGCACGCTCCATAAACATCCCAAATCAACCCTTTTTTTACAATGAACAGTGACACGATCCTTATCATTCTTAACAAAATCAAAATTGGAATGAATAGAATACTTTGACAACGCATCTCGAAATTCAATAACTCCTTGACCAAACCTTTGTCCCATTACTTTCATACAATTAACCGACTCATTGGAGAGCAAAGGTTTCCGTTGATTTGAATAAAATGAAGGCAAAAAATCAGTTTCACAAACAACACTACTATTACTACTAGCTTCACTGTCACAAATCATTTAACGTTCACCCAAAGAACAACACTTAACAAAAACATCAATACGATGAATATCACAAGAAAGTGCGAGTCCAACCATAACCTCCAAATCCTCTTCACTTCGTAGACCACAACAAGAATGTATAGGCATTGAATACGATATATTCAAAGAACTACCAACTAACTCACTTCACTTTGCACACAAATTATATACTAAATCCTTGAAATGAAATCCATCATTATACTTGATAACCAATGTCATACCTCTAAACTTGCACATAAGAAACAAACAAATCTCTATCACTATAAATCCTGCAACAAACATCAATTATATTTCAGCAAACAACTCAAGCACCCTAAAACAAAATCTAATGCAGTGATAAAATTATCAGCCAACTCAAACACATCCAAAAACCAACACTGATAACTTTAACAGTTAACACTACCAAAGACCAACAGCATGAATAGTGAATAAGGCTTACACTTATTAGACATGGTAACTCGATTTGAATCTTACCATTACATTATGCAACTTTTTCATCTCCTATTCCCATACTCACTGATAAATTTATCACTGTTGAAAAAGTTAATCCAACAACACCCCCAAAATACTCAGTGATAAAATTATCACTGTATAAAATAACAAACCAGCACCTATGTTTAATAAAAACAATTTCGTAACCAAAAAAAAAAAAAATATTCTAAAATTCTTTACATATACATATCTCAAAGCTTTCAATATCATGATCAAAATACAAATTCAATCGCAGCAGAAACAATAGAATAACAACAATATCACAACAAAATCAAAATCACCAACTCAAACTAAAAAAAACCAAAACATTGAAATTGAAATCAAAATCAAACATACCAGTCAAGCTACCTCCACAACATCGCAAATCAGAAAATGTAACTATACACCAAACGTGAAATCGCAAAATAGGAAGATTCAACAAGCGCGCAATCACAAACCACGAAGATACACTAAGCACGAAATGACAAATGACAAAGCTCCACAATAATGCATTAGCAAATCGTGAAGTTCCATAGAAATCCAAATCACAAACCCATACTCACAACACAATATTTTGATAGAAAATCAAAACAAAATGCACCAAAACAAGGGAGGGGTAAAACGGTACACACACACAAAAAAAGGCTCACAACTTGTTGGTGCACAAGAGCAAAACTCAGGACTAAGAGGGGAATAAATACAAAATGTAGGACTGGCCAGTAAAAAACCCAAATATTTATAAATGTGATTTGGCCCAATTGAAATTAAAACATATACAAACAAGTGTTGTTTTGGCCCAGTGTTTAATATTTTTTAATATTTGTAATGATTTTTTCTTTTTTTTAATATATGAAAGTAAATTTTAATGATTATATTAGTGCAAGTAAACTTAAATAAAAAACTTATTAATACTTAACATTTCATACATAAATTTTTTATTAAAATATATATACACACACACACACACATATATATATATAAGAGGGCTCTATTTTCATAATTCTCCATAGGCTTCATAAATTTTAAGGCCAACCTGAATATAAAAGTAATACAAAAGTAGCTTCTAAATACAGAAGCTTCCTTAACCCACAAGGCGAGCAACATGTACCTCCTTTCAAGGCACTTTGACAATACATACATAATCAAAACCATTTCACGTAATTTTAATATCAGCTAGTATATGCTCTAACTCCCAATCCGTACTATGATCTTCCTTGAGCTGCCTGATGAGTTCCTGACTATCCATTAGCACCTTGATTGCTTTTACATTGCCAAGAGAGCACCATTTTAATGCTTCCAAACATGCTCGACCTTCCGCAACTGTTGCTAAGGATGCACAAAAAAAAAGAAAAAGAAAAAAAGAGCTCTGTCGCTTTACAAGCTGTTGCCCGTGAATTTCCACACCAACATACGCTGCTCCTGCTCGGAATGTTTGCTTTTGCCAAGCTCTATTAACAAGTAATCTATCAAAGTACGTATTAGGACACCAAGACACATTATTAGTAATAACAAAAGAGTGAGATTGTAATAGTTATGATTTTTTTTTTCCAAAAATAAAATATTAATAAAAGAAAGAAAGAAAAAGAAAAAAAAAAAAGTAATGTAATGGCACCAATTTTTTACAAAATTCATTAAGTAAGTTGGTTTGCAAGCATAGTACAGCCGTCAAGACATTATTGAAATATCGACTAACAGTCTCTCCAAACTTATAGAAATTGAACTTAACATTTCGTATTTTCAAGTATTGTGCCAAGATGAAAAGGAAGAAGGCCACTTTCTCTTCTAAAGTGACGTGTTTTGAATTCCCTAAACCGCCTATTGTATGAACAATAATGAAAAAAAAAAGAGTAATGTAATGGCACCAATTTTTTTACAAAATTCATTAAGTTGGTTTGCAAGCATAGTACAGCCGTCAAGACATTATTGAAATATTGACTAACAGTCTCTCCAAACTTATAGAAATTGAACTTAACATTTCGTATTTTCAAGTATTGTGCCAAGATGAAAAGGAAGAAGGCCACTTTCTCTTCTAAAGTGACGTGTTTTGAATTCCCTAAACCGCCTACTGTATGAACAATAATGCACAACGTCATAAAAGAAGGCCAATCCATATGGAATTGTTCAATGCATATTATGTATCTTTCTCTCACTAAATGGTTAATACGGTCCATTTGTTGCTGCAATCAATTGGGCCCTCTAATCAGATTATGGGGATACTTAGATAAATATCTCTTCAAGACAACATGACAACAAAAGTTACGACGCATAAGGCATGTAGTTTTTGCATTACAGCTTGCAAGACTACGTATAATTCAAACTTATCGTTATTCTCATTGTCAAAATTTTTGATATTTTTATCCATCTATGTGCAAGAAACCATTTAGAATTACAAATAAATTAAAAAAAAAGAGGGAAAACATTACAGAAAATCATAAAGCATTATAGTAAACATGCATATAAAATAAACATGATGTTCAAACTACCAAATATTGTCATTCTATTTTCATTTAGAAACTGAAAGAAATATTGAGAGAGTGATTGAAAGAGCTAATACACTCTGTGATTCAATTGTGTATTAAACATGAAGAGAAGGCTCCATTATATAGGAGAGCTAATACAACATCATTATGATACAACATTATGAAAGACAACATATAAAAATAAAAGTAGCCGAAAGTTTGAAGGCACTACCTAAAGCACTACAATAAATCATCTGATGGAGAAGCACTAACTATTAAATATATATTAATGATATAAGCATGCTTGGTATTATTATATTAACAAATAGCTTGCTTGATTTCCAATACTCCCCCTCAAGCTACGTGGTAGATATTAATCATTCCCAATTTTTCCGTCAGATCTTCGAAGTGAACGCGAGCAAGAGCTTTTGTGAGAATGTCAGCCTTTTGATAGTTTGTTGGAGTGTAGCTGACTTGAAAAACTCCTTCGTCAATCTTTTCCTTGATAAAGTGTCGATCTATCTCCACGTGTTTCGTTCGATCATGATGAACCGGATTCTTAGCTATACGGATGGCGGCTTGGTTGTCGCAGTATAAAACCATGGGATGCTCAGATGGAACCCGTAATTCTTCTAACATCCTGTTCAACCAGATTCCCTCACAGATACCTAGTGCCATAGCACGAAATTCTGCCTCAGCAAATAGTTATTTCATTCCCTCTACCTTGTTAAACCAACTGTGCAACAGAGCATAGAGCCAAGGTACATTAAAAAAAAAATTAAAAAAAAGAGCAATAAAAAGAAGATGTAAATAAAAAATTAAAAAAAAGATAAACAATGAAAAAACACAACAATGAGTGTGAAACCAAGTGTGGAAGCTTTTTAAACCAAGTGCGGAACAGAGCATCCCATGTCCACCAGAACATCGATGTAAATTAAATAAATAAATAAATAATACAAAAAAAATCAAAAGAAGTAAAAATAATCCCTCATATCAGAATGAAAAAAAATAAATAAAATAAATCAGAGAGAAAGATAATAATATCATACAAGAAAATCTCTAAATTCTTCATATCAAAATAAAAAATAAATATCAAACAAAATCAAAGATGTAGAATAATTCTCAAATTTCAGTAGAGGTAAGAGATCCGAGATCATCTAAACAATGAATGTGTGAAGGTTTAGCAGAAGAACACAACAATCGCCTTTAATGTTCTACTTTTGTAAGAGCATAAAAAACATATGTGAAAAAGAATGAGAAAAAAGATGTTAAATAGTAGAGGGTCAAAAATGTATTTTTATTATCTAATCCGTAGAAAGAATTATTCTATGTTTTGTAGGGGTGTAAATTTGGCTCGGCCCAGCCAATTGTCGGGACGTGCGGGCCCCCACCAAAATTTGGGCCGGTTTGGGCTGGCTCATGGCCAAAAAATTAGGCCCAGGCCCAACGAGAATTTGGGCCTCAAGCAGGCTGGCGAACCTAGGCTTGGGCTCGGGCTTGGGGCGAGGTAGGGTTGGGCCTGAACATTTTTTCATTTTTTTCTATTTTTTTTCCCAATTTTTTTTTTCTCACCAAAAATAACACTGGGCTTCAGGTAGGCTAGGCCTCGGGCTGGGCCTTGAGTGGGCTGATAGGTCAGGCTTTAGGTCAGGCCTAGCAAGGCCGAGCTTACGGCCCAATTTGGGCAAGATTGGGCTTCAAAATAGACGGCTCAAGCCTAGGCCCAGGGTCTTGGGCTCAGCTTGAGCCGGGGCCTGGACGAGCCTAGCTAGGCCAAACCACATAGGGCCACGGGGGGAGCTTTCAAGCTGGATGATTTCAGATGTGAAAATTTACATCCCAAGTGTTTTATGTCCCACACCCTCCGAGACAGAATAATTGTAATGCCCCTAAAATAATATAATAAATCCAACTCATAAGCGG